AGTTCTCTATAATGAGTATCTAATATTTTTTAGTAACATACTCAGTTAAAGATCCATCTTAGGATAGCCTGTATCATGGGTATCCATTCTGCATAATTTTTCATTCCTTCAGAAACCTGTCATTCATACCATTTAGGAGGTTGACATTATTTACAGTTGTGTCCTAGGCATATGTAGCTTAGAAACAGGAGAGGGTGGCTGACATTTTATAAGAAAATGGCAATAAGGCTCAGAATTGCTGAGGTCAAGTAGAATGAGCTAGTGGAACGTGTCATTCGCTTTTCCTCTTTGGTTAAATCACGCTTCCACCTTCTGGCTCTCTTCCTTCAGGGAAACGGGGCTTATGACTTAGTAGGTCCCTTTAAATCTAGCTATATCCCCTTTCATGAAAGAAAAAAAAAAGGGTGGAACATAATGAAATGAATTTGTAGCAAGCTAATTCCATGGTAATTTTACCCAGGAACAGCCCCAGCCATTCCATCAAGTGAGGGTTTACAGGGAACACCTCTGAAAACACTTGCAGCTCCTTCACAATCTTCTCTGTTTCCATTATAAATGTTTCCATATTTCTTGCAAAGCAATAATATCTGACAATATTTTAAAAAGCGAGTTGCCAGGTTGGCTTAGGATATTACAGGGTAAAACTTTAGTTTTCTCTTCCTTTCAAATTTTGCTAAATATTAACTCAGATCTTCCTAGCCTTCCCAAGGACATACGTCAAGGTCCCACTTCAAGACAGGACAAATTGGTCATTACTGTATGAAAAGGAAAAATTCTGGGAGCTGGAATCTTGGGTCCTGACCTTCCGAACCACAGCTTACAGGCATTACAAACTGGACACGTTTCAAGGCAATAGGAAAACTTAGGGTGGTCACCTACATCTTTAATAAACAGACTTTTGGCTTCTGTTTCTCTCTCAGTTTTTGTCCCCTTTTTGGCTTTGAATGAACTGTGTAGAAACCATCCAGGGATCACCCATCAAGGCATCTGTGATCCTGAAGATTTTACAATGGGAGGGCTTTTCAGTAGTCACCATTTAGCACAGTAGAGCAGAGGGAAGCTAGGCGGCACAAAAAATCTCCCTACATTGGTAAGTTAAGAAATGTGTGAAGTAAAATTCAGTAAGTTGAGCTGCATTTTTAAGATCGGGGTGAGGAGACTATCAGACAATCATGAATTTCAACACGGGGGAAGAAATGTGCTAACTGAAAATGAATGCAACCAAAGACACTTTACGGAAAATATTCTCACATCTCGCTTTTAAGGTTATAGACCACTGATTCTAGGGGTGAGGTCTTCCCAAAGATATCCATTCTAAAAGTATGACTGCATGGCTCTGGGTGTCATCAGCAGTAAAAAGAATCCCATAGAAATTATTATTCTACTCCTAGCAATGGCATTGAAGTAGTTGCCCCTATGTGCCCAGTGGTTAGAAGCACTTTCTGCTCTTCCAGAAGATCCACGTTTCGTTCCCAACCTATGTTAGGTAGCTAGCTCATAACCACTTGCAGCTTCAGCTCCGAGGGGCCTCACACCTTCTGGCCTCTGTAAAAATGTGCATTCCTGTGCAAGCACACCCACACAGAAACACACATACACATAACTGTGGCCATCAATAGACTGTCCCTGGTTATGCTTGGCTAGCTTCAGAAAGATGTGCTGTGATTGGAAGAGGGGAAAGCTGCCAAGTCGGCAGAGGCAAGGGAAAGCAGGGTTATTAAACTTCTTAGAACAGAGTCACGGATTCCTAGAACTGGGGTTTTTCTTTGACAGTATATATCCCAGAATGTTCCTGACAAGTAACACATAGTTTAGTAATTTAAAACCAGTTGAATGTTGAGGACTGACTACTCCTTCCTGTTTTAGCTGCACTAATTATTCCTGTAGGGCCAAGTTCTATGTCAGTACTATTAAACTCACTGCGTTTTACTCTTTAAGCAAGAATTTTAGCTATTTAAGTGACAAGGTGTGAATACTGTTAGAGGTTCGTTAAAAATATCGTAATTTTGAAAACTCTGAGAATACTTAGGGATGCTGAATTCTTGTCTTTGAGTCTCAAATAGTGACATTCCAGGAATTTGGAAACACTAAAAAACTTTGTTGTTGCATTATTGTTGATGCATATATTGTATACTGCAGAGGAATATATGTAGGTTTTTGAATAAAAAATTAAAAAGAGAAATTGGAGGCTTATAAGATGCATTTACAGAAATTAAGATTGCTATTTTTAATGAAAACAATAAAGGAAATTGGAGACTTTTGGGCCACATTTATAGAAATCAAGTTTTGAATACAAGAGATGATTGTACATGAATAAGGACATAAATGTAGAAAACACTTCTGCGCTCGATAGGCTGGACAAGAATTATGGCTCTAATTAGTAGGAATAGAGAAAGGAAAAGTCACTCAGTTCAGGCAATTAATTAAAGCACTACTATGCTGGGGTATTTCAAACATTGTTGTCATGAAGTACAACTATATATTCTGTATCTTCCAAAAAAAGCTGTTCTTTTGGCAACAAAGTTCTAGACTAGAAGTGTATTCATAGGATCTGGAACTTAAGACGATAAAATAAAATCTGAGAATGACAGAGGTCCCAAAATATTATTTAGGTAAATTAGATTTTTTATTAGCTCAATAGAGGAAATAATGTTTTGTAGAAGAAAGTCCTTCATCTCACATCCTCAATGAGAAGAAAAAATAACAGAATTGGGAAGGCACTTTAGTTTGGTGACTTATCACATACTCAAAGGGTCTTTACAGCGTCAAGGCCAAATTGTTGTTCAGTTAATAATGAAGCATGTTAAAGCTAATATTAAACTTATCTGATGCTCACAGGCCAGATGGCTTTTCAGCTAAAATGAAAAACGTCAGTATGGCATGGGGTGGACGTTTGGGTTTCGAACTTGGAAATCTGGGTTTGAATAAAGGTTTAGTTACATAGCTTTGAACCAGTCATTTTTCATTTTCTGTTTTTCCTGCTGTAAAATCTGGGGGTTGGGGAATCTCTGAGAATTAGATGAAATATCAAAGTATTGGCTGATGTCTGAAACATATCTAAGGATCAATAAATGTGATTTTTTAAAATCCCAGTACTTGGTGGTCCATGCCCACTTTGGACAGCACTGGACCACGTTGGTCCTTATACTGTACAGAAGTAACCCAGAGTGATTAAGTAAATGACTAACGCTAAGGAATTTAACATGTGAAATGCGAAAGGACATCATTTATTAGCACTTTAATTTTGGATCCTGACTGGTGTGTATGTGAGTGTGTGTTGTGTGTGACACACTCACATTCTCTCTCTCTCTCTCTCACACACACACACACACTTCTAAAGCAAGTTGACATTCAAATGCCGTAATTTATTTCTTGATTAATTTAGAAACAAAAAAGCTTCAATCAAAGACATTTTGTATAATATGATCTAAGTACTATACTGAAAGGTTTTTTTCTTTTTCTTTTTTTTTTTTTCTTGGCAAAAACACAGGTAAAGAGCTTACCTTTTGGTGACTGAGGATTTCCTGGAAGTGGTATTGATTCCTTCTGACTTAATATTCCCATCTAATTTTACTGATACAAATGGTAAAACTAAGACTATTAGACCATTTTTTATTATTAGAACATCTGGATTAGTAACTATAAAGTTATAAAAGCTCATAAATGATTTGGTAGAAAAATCTACTTCTTTTTAAGTCTTAAGATAGACTAAGGGGGAATTTCACTCACTTGCTTTGTGACAATTAACCTTGAATACTGTAAATATTTCCATCCTTGTCGACTCATTCCTTTATTGTAAGGGTCATTTGTTAAAAACTTTCTTTTTGTCTATTTGTGCCTATGCAGTGTGAGCGTGTGTGTCCATGCCCATGTGTATATGAATGTTTATGTGGGTGGAGGCCAGAGATTGATGTTAGGTGCTCTCTTCTACTGTCCCTCACCTCATTTTCTGAGACAGCGTGTCTCCCTGATCGTGCAGCTCATTGTCCAGCTAGTCCCCAGGATCTGCTTTTTCATCCCAAGCACTGAGACTGCAGGTGAGTCTCGGGGACTCAAACTCAAGTCCTTATGTTTGTACAGAAAGCTCTTACTGAGACATCACCTCAACCCCATAAAAATAATTTCAATGGTCTTCCTCGTTGTTGAAATAGATTCAAATTAAAATTATTTTAATAGACAATGTAAGTGTTATATATAAGGCATAAGAGGTGGCTCAAGTGTGTATAATACTCTTGCAGAGGACCCAACTGCAGCTCCCAGCAACCTTAGCTTTGTCTGACAGTTCACAACTACCTTGAAAGCCAGCTTCCTGGCCCTCTACTGGCTACTGTGGGAACTGCTCTCAAAAAGCTCACAAAAACCCAAACAAACAAAAAACCCCAACCCCCCAAAACAAACAAACAAACAAAAACTAATCAATCTTAAAAAATTGCATGGCGCTTTCTGCTACAACAGTAATGAACCTAAACAAAGTGCACTGTGATAAAAATAGTTATACACTCTACACATCATGCCTTTGATTGATTCCTCCTACCTTTAAGTATTAAGTCAGATTGTTACCAACACGTACTGTTTTATCATCTAAAAAGATTTTTGTTGTTATTTATTCTTTGAAACAATGTTTGTTATGTAGACCAGGTTGTTCACGAATTCAGCCTTTGAATGTAGAGTGCTGGCATCACAGGCATTTGTTACCAGACCTTGTTCATGCTAGGTTTTTGTTTTTGTTTTGTCCATTTTAGACTGAAGTCAGTGGGATCACAAACATAGTTTATATTCACTGAAAATATTGACTTTTTCTTTACATCTCTTTGTATTGTAGTTTTTATTTGTTAATAGAAATAGTTTTTTTTTATTTGTTAATATGTGTCTAAATCTGTTGTGCGCAAGTTTTATTCCAATTCTTGCTAACATGATTGTGGTTAATAGATCATGGTTAACATAATTCCCAAGAAACATAGATGATAAAAAATGAAAGTAAGAGTATAAAATAAGCTTACTGTTTCACCAATTTTCCCAATATCTCCTTGGTCTCCTGCTTCTCCCTGTTGATCGGAATACAAAATAGTGAAATGACAATTTTTCCAATAACAATAACATGACAGATATTTATTTCCATTTTACATAATTATCTTGTAACAGAAAAAATACAAAGATGCTTTCAGTTGTTCAAACTTATTGATAGTATTTTTGTGAAATGTGGCCTTTTATCTATTTTTATTCAAACAGTAATTACATACATATTGAAGTCGCATTCCCCTACTCATTACGTTAAGTCATTTTAAGGACATATTTCAGGCTGGGAAGCTGGCTCAGCAGTTAAGAGTACTGGCTGCTCTTGCACAGGACACAGGTTTGAATTCCAGGACTCACACAGTTTCTCACAACCGCCTGCGAATCCAGTTCTGTGGGATTCAGTGCCCGCTTCTGGCCCCCTGGGGCACTGTACATGGGTAGTGCACACAGAGATTCATGTAGGCAAACACTGTACACAATGAAATCTTTAAAGGCACCTACTGCCAATCCAAAGACAAAAGACCCTAGCTCAATCCTCAGAACCCACAGAGGGGAAGGAGACAAGCAAATCCTTGAAGTTGTCCTGTGACTTCCACCTGTTCACTGTGGCATGTGCGTATCCACACACATACAGAAAGAATAAACTTAAAAATATTTAAAAATAAAGAAAAGATACTGTGAAATATGTCAAGAGTATAACTGAAGCCCTTGCCCCAGAGGATGCTGTCTCCAACACAGAAAAACCTAAAGGTGCCTTTGAGGAAGTGTCTGTGAGCGCCAGGAGAGCAGGCCCATGGAGAAGGGGACATTTGCTCATAACTTCTAAGGCACAATCCTATAGTTCACGGTCTCTGCAAACCCAGAGGTTTCCTCAACTCATTCGGTAATAAATTTGACCTAATCTGAGATATTTGGCACCAATTTCTAGCCTGAGAAAATACTTTTAGGATTTTCGTTTCTCCCTATTAATTGGAAAACAACTGCATTTAAATGCAGGGGTTTTAAAGGATCTAATTTTGGTGTGTTGCTCCCCGTTGGCTGCAGGTGAGGAGTAAAACATACTATACGATCCAAATTACTCTTTATAACTCCAAGTGGTGGCTTCTGGAATTCACTGGAGCTGTTCCCTGTAAGCAGGGGTTATCGAGCAGGAATAAGGAAGTATCACTTCAAGGGTGGGGGGAGGCTCATATAAGAGAAGCTAAGGGCTGATAATGGAAAGAAGAAGACTGACTTTGAGATACCACATGCACTGGTATGCTGTTTCTTCTGAGGATTAAAATTTAAATTTGAAAATTTAATGATCCCTATAAGCTGGTCTCTTCCATGCATTGAATCTCCGTGCTGTGTTGTATTTGTGGTTGTAAAGAATTATCTAATGCATGGAGGCAAAGCAAGAAACAACGAATGGCAGCTCATCCTTCCAAGGTCACACAGAGATTAAGGCTCCTCAGTGACGGAGTAAGGAACAGGCTCAGGTGGACCTTCTGTTAGGTGTTTATTAAGAACATATGCTTAAGATGGAGAGGACAAGACCAGGCGGCAGAAACACATAGAGACGGCTTACCTGAACAAGGAGGAGCTAACGGCCACCAGACTGATAGCTGGAAAGCCAGCATGGGACTGACTCAGGACCCCCTGATTATGAATCTCAGCCAGAAGGACTGAGCAGTCTAAGGGACCTCAGACAGTGGAGCCAGGATGTATCCCTGGTGCACAAAAGGACCTTGTGAACACATCCCCCATGGAGGGATAACTGCCTTAATCTAGAGACAGGAGAGAAGCCCTAGTCCCTACTTCACATTGACCTGTCAGATCTACATGACCCCAACTGGATGGCATTCCCCTACATATGGAATTGTGGTGGGGGGATGGGAGGGGAGGGTGTTTAGAGTGCATGGGAGAGGGAGAGAGGGTAAAAGGGAGGAAAGGACAGAGGGAGGGAAGAAGGGAGGGAGGGAGGGAGAGGGAACTGGGATCGACATGTAAAATAATAAATTAAATAAAAAAAAATGCTTTGACCCCAAAATTTAAGTCTAAGGACAGGTTACTGGGGAAAAGGATTTCTATTTTTTGTTTCCACAGAAAATGAACAGCTGTGATTCCTTCCAGACTAATGTGGTTTGATCAAGCCAGACCACCTGAAACAGAGTACCAGGTAATCCTACATTCAAAACAGCTGGCAAAGCAGCCTTGCAGACTACAGCCAGGATTTCTGCATCTTCTTAGAATCCCCCATGACAGCGCCCCTCACCAGCAGGAAGTAGTTTGGAAAGAACAACGCCCAAATTCCCAAATATTGTCTATAAATGTTTGTTTTCATTTAAATGGACTTGGTTACACAAAATAAAAATAAAATAAAATAAAAAAAACCCACTATACCCATTACAAATTCCTTGCACAATGCACAGGTGTGTGAAAAAATATGTGAAAGAACCAAAGGATTTTATGACATTCTTTAAGCACATTAAATGAGTTTCTTGGTGAGAAAAAAAAAAAAGAACCTATGCTTAATAAAGAGATAGTACCATATATGTGTATTACCCTATATCTAATCCACAAATATTATAATGATTATAACGTGTTTTATTAAGTCACATAAAGTTTATCAGTTTGTGTTGCTTTGTATCTCATTTGCAAAAGTTTGTAAAATGTATTGTAACATTTCTCTTCTAAACTGTATACCTATACAAATACACACGTTGCTACTTGGCTTATAAGTTGCTCTTTTAACAATCTTATTGGTACCACCTATGTGGAAATTTTCTCATTTAATTTGTACTGGCTGATTTTAATTGATAAAAGTCCTAGTTTTATCCTTTTGGAAATTTATATTTCCAAACTGATAAAAACCCAATATTTCCAAACTGATAAAAACTTGTGGTACTTTACCTTTAAGCCTTCTGGCCCTGGTTCTCCCATATACCCTTTTCGACCTGGTTTTCCCTAAAGGGAAAAAGAAAGAACAATACCTATAAAATATAATTAGCACTCATCACTTCCAAAGGCCTAAGACAGTGGTTGCCCACCTGTGGGTTGCAGTCCCCATGGGTCACTTATCAGACATCTACACTATGATTCATAACACTAGCAAAAGCAGTGAAAATAGTCTTATGGCTGGGAGTCACCACGGCATGAGGAACTGCACCGAAGGGTTGCAGCAGTAGGAAGGTTGAGGACCGCTGGTTTAGGAAGTGCAGTCTGTTCCGCGAAATGGATGACTTCAGAATACCCGATGCTCTCTTATATTTAGTAACCATTCAGACTACAGATACTTGAGTGCCTCCAATTGTGAGGACCCCTCCCCTCACAGAGCTGATGCTTCAGTGAGGGCGATAACAGTTTTTTAATTTAAAATATGTGTGTGTGTATATGTATATACACACACGCGTGTGTATATTTATATAAATGTATGTGCACACATGTTATGTCATGTAGTGGTAAATATGAAGTACAATGCATTAAGCAGAGAAGGGGGATACCCACTCTTGTGGGAGTTTTATTGAAACATGTTTTGTGTGGTTTCTATGGGAGAAGACCTCACTGAGAAGGGGGCATTTGAGCATAGATCTTAAAATGGAGCAAACCATGCCGTCATCAGGGGGAAGAACATTCCAGGCACAGTCAAAGGTACCTTAGGACGACTAAATGAAACGCCAGCACCACCATGAGGAGTGAATATGGCTGGATAGAGATGCAGGGGGAGAAACTGAGTCAGAAGATGAAGCCAAGAAGAGAACGCGGGTGGGGTGTGGGGTGGGAAACTGCGTCACAGTCACGCAAGATCTTACAAATTACACCAGGTTGTTTGGCTTTTCTTCAGAGTGAGGCAGGAAGTCTAAAGTGAACTCTGAGAAGAACGCAGTATGATCCGTGCTTAACAGGGTCCCTTGATCTTGATGCAAAGGCAGAAGGTGTCATAAGAGGGTGTCTACCACAACACAGTGAGAGGTGCTGTGGTGTGGATCGGGTTGCAGCAGACAGCTGGGAGAAATGCAAAGCCTTGGGGGAGGGATGAGGATGTCAGAGGCTCGGGTACTGTTTGCGATTCACGCAGCGAATGTGGGATGGGAGAAGGAGAAGGCGCGGTATGGATTTTGTGTAATGAAGTTCTGTTATCATACAAACTTCATGGAACTGTTACTGTAGCAGGGCATGGAGTTTAAGGTATTCTGAATCTGTGTTCTTGGAAGTGGCCACTCTCTTGGCTCCAAAAAAAACTTCTTTTGAGATGATGGTTGTGCTTTTACATCGACAACTAAGTAGTTTCGATTTGAGCAATTGAGTAATTGAAATGAGAAGGGCCCTGAGAATAAGCTGGATGGCAAATTAGAAGCTGCGTTTCAAACATTTCAGTTAATATGGCTGCTGAACACCTATGACACAGTTCAATAGTAGAATGTTCTGATCCAAAGATATTGTTCTGCAAGTCATCAGTGATGCTATTTCAATTGCTAAGACACGTGGAGACTTATCTAGGAAGTAGTAAGGTTAACAGAAAAGTCTATATACCAAGGATTTTCTAAGATTTTGAAGTTGAAGAAATTAAGACAATAGGAAGTGTGATGCTAGTGATCTACGAAGAAAATCATGTAAATAAAAGGTTTTCTAGAAGAAAGCTGATTCTAATAATGTCTCAGGCAGCTGGAAGATGGTGGCACGGGCCTTTAATCCCAGCATCCAGGGGCAGAGCCAGGCAAATCTCTGTGAGTTCAAGGCCAGCCTGGTCTACAGAGAGAGGCAGGACAGCTAGAGATATACAGAGAAAGTCTGTCTCAAAAAACAAAAACTAACAAACAAAAATGCCTCAGGGATATGAGTATTGACTACCATGATGTGATTAGGACTGGGAAATGACTGTTGGATTCAGAAGCAATGGGTAATCTGTCACCACTGTAGAAGTGCTGGGGACACGAATGGCTTTCACAGGTAGACAGAGAGGAGCTGGCGAAAACATATAGAGGGAGTTTACTGAGAGGAGAGGAATGCAAGGAATGGAGCATGCTCGGAAGAGACAACCCACTTATGTAGAGGAAAGGACAGTAGGTCTGTATGCTGACAAGAACGGTCCCCTAGATGGAAAAACGATTACGGTATCAGAAGTATAGAATTAAAGGGGAGGGTTGCTGGATCTGAATCACCAAAGGACACAGCGAAATGGAAAGCGAAACTGAAAATTCTGACTTTAGTAAGATCAGAGGACTATTCGAATGTTCACAAAACAAGACAATAGGCAGAGTAAAAATGGGTGGATCAGAAACTGAGTTGTCGCTGCACTCAATGGTTGACTCTATTTTAAAGGAAGGAGGAAGAGAAGGCTAAGCATGAAGATGATATGGAAGTAAACAGTTATGAAATAGTAGTTCAGAAACAAAAGAGTAAGTGGGAAAGAAAACAGAATTCAGAAGGTAACCAAAAGGTTGGAATCCTGATGGTGCGTATGGAGTCGTGAAGATGAGGGACAATGGGAAACACTGGAGTAGGTATGGCACCCTGGGATTGGGAGAATGTACGTTAGGAAGAAAGAGAAAGGGAATTGAGATGCTGGGTGGGAATTAGAGCATATAATGGGAAATAAGAGCGTGCCAGACCACGGAAGAGACTAAATCCCTTAATGCACCCCATAAAATAATAATTCAGCACTGAGATGGGACAGTCTCCTGTCAGCCTAGCATCTCAGCACTAGGGTGTGTCTGTCAAGGACTGACATACTAAACCTCCACTACAAACAAGTAGAACCTTAGAAACCAAGCCACTCTGGACCATGGTGGTGACATTACCACTTGTGACCCTGTTTAAGCTCCAGCACTTTTATTTGTTTGTTTGTTTGTTTATTTTTGTGGGAGTAGACCTGACCTGAAAATGTAACATTAAAACCTTATTTTCATAGAGTGTCTTGCAGGGTTTTCAATACTAGGCTGATTCATGTGATACCCTTGCGCTGTCCTAGTTCCCAGACTGATCCTCAACCAGCAGAAGTGAAACAATACAGAACATTGTAGAGTATGGTTCTCTTGCTTTCTAGGGAAGTAAATTTTCAATGATATCAGTTTTTACTAGGCTCGAATAACTGCTGTTACACTCTTTCTTACAAAAAAAGAAATGTTTCCTTTCCAGGATGTGAAATCAGTATGTGTGCCTGTGAGATAAAGGCATAATTCCTATCTCCCTAAATACGTAAGAATGTGTAATTTGTGACATATCTCAAATAAAAAAAAATATATATTTTACATGAATTCAATGTCTCTTAAATATAACAAACAACCATAATTATTTAAAATGCAAACTTTGGTCAATATACAAAAACACTTAAATTTATTTACAAAACTTAGAAAACAATAGTTTCTCTATCACAAGATGGTATTATCTGGTTACAACGAGAGGAAACTACCCACTAGTTTTCCATAATTTCTATAGTGACACACTGTTATATCAGAGTTTTCTGTAAGTATTCTTAATATTACTTTATTTGGTATTACTGGGAACCCTTCAAATAATTTTCATGATGCTATAAAACTACTGGTAAAAGTGATAAGTGGTAATTAATAATATAATCAATGGGTTGAGGATTAAGCTGGGTGGTAGGATTCTTGTTTAGCAAGTTCAGGGCCCTGGGGTCAGCCCTCAGCTCTGGGACAAAGATATCTTAGGAAAAACCTACTTATCTGCTTACTCTAATTTGAGAGATTTTAGGGTCATAATGGTTCTAACTTTTGCTCTTCATTAATTAAAATATTATACTCTTAAAATATTGTAAGATAGTCATTCCAAAGACAAGAACATGCAGAAAATTATTTCAATCAATTAATGTTTTTTTGGGAGCATGTATTTTTCTTCAGCTATTAAATATGAAACAAAAAGTAGTTTCTCTTCACCCAAAATTATATAATTTAATTTTATAATGAAAAATTTTAACCCTTGAGGCCTTACCCTCTTCACGGAGCAGATGGAGGGGGATGGAGGGAGGCGGGGGGGGGCAGGAGGAGAGGGGGGAGGTAGAACTGGGATTGGAATGTAAAAAGTAAATTAATAAAAAAAGCACAAAAAATTTTAACCCTCAAAAATGTTGAGATAATGATATAACTCAAACATTTCCCCCTTCCTTTTCCTCCTTCCAAACCCTCCCACTGAGATAGGGTATTACTGTACCCCCTTCCTTTTCCTCCTTCCACACCCTCCCACTGAGATAGGGTATTACTGTATGCCCGAGGCTGGCCTGGGACTTGCTATTATGCCCAGGCAGACCTGTACTCAGGATCTTCTTGACTCCTCCCTAAGTATTGAAGTTACTAATGTGCACCACACCTCATCAGGCTTCAGGAAATCACTATTGTGATACTTGCCCTTGTTCCTAGTTCTCCAAAGGGTCCAACTGGTCCTTCTTCACCCTTAAAAATAAATTAGAACAATTCATGGCCTAAAATAATGTTTTAAAAAATAGACATCTTTATCTTTTGTATTTATTCTGAAATCTGAACCTTGTTAGAGAGTGCAACAAAAAACCTGCTACAACTCTTTTATTGTAGAATCCAGTCCTCCCATGTTTTAATATTTTGGGGATTAGCCCACCTCAAAACTGACATGTACCATTGGATTCCTTTTTAAGCTGATGGATGACACATTATATAGAGGAAATTAGGAGTGGAGGATATTGAAGGAAAAGAACCATTGAGATCATTAAAGATTTATTAGGTCACAAGTGTAAAATAGTCACAAGCAGTAAATATGAATTCTAGTGCATATACATTTCATTCTGTGTTCAGATTCTTCAACTTTCCATTGGAGACCCCTGAAATAAATCACGTAGTGAGTTCAGAACTCTGGAAAATGATTCCAACTTCCATCCTGTATGTGCCAATATAAATAACCTGAAATCATTTGCAGCAAAAATTGTCCACACAAAGGAAATTATTTTCATTAAGCAGATACTAAGTTTCACAAAATAAAAAGGGGCAATTCTGACTAAAACCTTGCTGACTAGACATTAGTTTCCTCCATACCTGAGTTCCTTTGAGTCCTGGAGGCCCTGGGGGCCCTCTGCTTCCAAGGTGTCCCTATTAAATTAATGTAAAGACATAAGATGAAAATTACACACCTATTAACATTTTAACCATGAAATATTACTACAAATGTGGGGATACCACTGGGCGCCATTGATCTCTTATTAATGGTTATCAAAAGATGAGATGGATGCTGAGCAAAAACTAAAAGAGCCAGGTGATTGAGAAATGCAGTGAAATTATTTTTAAATAACAGGTTAAGGTTCAAATGATCTGTTCAGTTTCTTATTCTTTTTTTTAACTTTCAGACACCCTTTCAGACAAAGCTCTTTTTGAATTTAAAGCAGTTGGTCTGTTACTCTGACAATAAATGTACACATGACAGAAAGTATCCCAGAAGTCTGTTGAGAGACCAGTAGAATGTGGCATTTCTTATTCCTATAAAGAGTTCTTCAACTCCTTTATGCATGCTGCCAAAATAAGAAGGACAAATTTGCAGAATTTGTCAAATGAACTTCATCACCAGAATGCTTAAGACTATTAAACTCTTTTGTTAACAAAAAAAAAAAACATGTTAAAATGCAATTGTTCTCTGAATGAAAATTTGTTCAAAATGATATTCCAGTTCACATAACATCTATTCACCATGACATTCATTTTCAGCACTTTGCTGGAAATATTCAGTGTGTCAGAAAGCCTTATGTAAAACCTTTCTAAGAATTTTATCTTCCATAATTTCTTATAATGTTTCTACAACAACCCAGAGGGGTTTTTAAAATCTAATTTTAATTGTAGTAAATAACTACATGGTGTTGAAAAATGTGCCCTGGTGACCGCATGTTTGGTTTTGGAATTCATCAGTGACAAACCATACGAGATCTTTCTGTAGACCTTGCTTTTTCCTGGCTATGCTTTAATGTAAATAAGAAATGGAAAATGGTTGGCTATCTTCAGTGTGCATTCTTGCAAGTTTGTGACATGAATGTTATCCATCAAGAAGCTGTAACGCTTGGGCTAGTTACACAGTTTTTAATGGACTTTTCCTGTTTTCAAAGGAAAAGATGAGTTAGGGAATGGAAATGAGGATATATTTTTTATGTTGCTCCAAAATACTCATACATTTTTGACAAAAATCGTGTTAATTTTCCCCAAGGAAATCCACTCTTGATCTTGTGTATGATGGACTCCTACAGCTCAATTGCAAAGACCCAAGCAGCCCACGAAAATGTGGGCAAGTGACCTTTGGATATATATTCAAAAGAATTGTAAACAGGCTCTCAGAGAGCTAGCTGTATGTCTACTAGTTACAATAACCAAGAGTCTGGTTACTCTATTGTCTGTTGATGAGTAAATAAAATGTGTTACATACAAATAACTCAATTTTTTTTAGCTTTAAAAAGAAGGAAATCCTGTCATATGTTCAAGATGGACGAACCTTGAAGACATTCTGCTAATGGAGTAAGCTAGTCACAGAACAGCAAATATGGCAGGATTCAACTTATATGGGGTATATAAAGTACACAAAACCATAGAAGGCTGTCGTAAATTGGCCTCTCCTGGGGCTGACATAATGAAGAGCTGCTTTAAAATGAGTACTTTAATCAAGCAAGATGAGAAAGTTCTGGAGATCTGCCTAACAACAACCATGCATTGAAAGTATTGCAATACTAAACTACACACTGATAAAGCTGTTAAGAAGATAGAGTCTACAATGTGTGTTTTGCACATAGCCAAATGCTTATCATACACACACACACACACACACACACACACACACACACACACACACACACAATTTTATACAGGATTTTTGGGATTTATGTGCCTCAGTTTTAATTTTTTTTTATATTTGGTATCTGTCACAATCTGCTTCCTAACTTCTTTTAGCAGTACAGATCTCTCTGTCATCATACTGTATTCTTACTTTCGTATATCAGCTCTCTGTCTCCACTTGGCTAAACTCAACCCATTCAATTATCTACAGATAAATTCCAATTTATCCATGGATCTCTGTGAATCATGGCCTCATTGACTATCCCTTTCTCTAAAACTTCTAGTTACTCACTTATATGCTTCCTAGTAATTATACTTTTAACTTTTCCCATATGGAAGACATGTTTCTAGAAGATTATAAATTCCTAGTACAGAGAAGACCATGCCCTAATCTTGTTTCCTAGTTACTGCGTAATGTATTACAAACAGTAACACAGAAAAAATTACCCAATATACAAGCTCAGTAAATGTTTCTCAGCTGACTAAACACTGCTCAGAGAACAAAATGGTTAATATAATTAATATGTATATAAAATCTTGATTTAATGGTTGGAATGTAGATGTTCAGGGCTGAGTTGAAGTGATCTATGAGAATGGACTAGAGTCATGCATATTTTCTTACTAAGCCAACTTCCCCCAAACAGATAAACATACAACAATACTAGAGCAGGTCAAGGCAAGAGCTATTTCCATGTACTATAGGCACAAATAGTAGGCTTCCTCTGCAAGCTTATCAGGACTGTAATACAAGACACAGTAACAGCTGCTTTGCACATTCCTAATTCTGTAGCCAAAGCAGCAACACAAGTCATTGGACCCACAGATACAGTATCCCTCTGTTTACTGAAGAGCTGAGGATATTTATAGGATACTCTTACTTTCTGCAGGGACCAGCAGAGGATGTGGATTAGCTGATGTTATGGTATTCTTGAAAGCAGATTGCCAAATTGAGTGTCTCAGGAAGGCTTTCTGAAGAATGTTTGGATCTGTATACAAATACAAACACACACACACACACACACACACACACACACACACACACACACACACACACACGAGACAGAGAGAGAGAGAGACTCCACAATCAGTAGAACCATAATCAATACATGTTTGCAACCCCAGTTTGAGGTTTTTAGCCAACTGGCAGAAAACTAACAGGAAATAAAGGGTTTCTGGAAAGAATCCTCCTTTTTTGTTGACCATAGTACAACCATTTTTTCAAAATCAGTGTGCATGGTTTCTTTTCTTCTAAACATATTTATGTTTATTTCACATTTGTAGGTGCTTGCCTACATTGTGCATGCAGATCATGTATGTACCTGGTGCCAATCAAGGACACAGAGGGTACCACATCCTTAGAACTAGATTCATACGTGGTTGTGAACCACCATGTGGGTACTGGGTATAAAACCTGGGTCCTCTGCAAGAGCATTTTACTCCCTGAGCCATCTCCTCGGCACTTACATTATTTTCTTGATGACTATGTCCATTCGGCTTTAGTAATTTACATGACTCCCACTTCCTTTCCTAAACAAGACGTGTAATAAAAGCAAGGGAAGTTTAAGGAGGCTTCTATGATAGGATCTTTATTGCTAAAGAAACACTTAATACTTATGGTGTGTTTGGCTCTATTTTTCCCGTTTCTAGAAAAATTTCAAGAAAATGAAGAAAGACAAAGAATATAGCCAAAATCTGATCTCTCATTCTTCAAACACAGCTGTAGTCTTATCACTGCACTTTCTGTTCTTTTGATAAATCGTGCCTACTCAGTAATGTATATAACATCAATTAGTCTCACATTGTTGCTGTTAATGAATCTATAAGTTCATATCTACTGAATAAATACTTTTAGAAAAATACTTCAAAAAACAATAACTATCCCTTATCAGTTCAACCACTGGTATTTTTTTTTTTAAAAATATCTAGCTTTCGGGCCTTTTGGTCAACTTTTTAAAAGGTGTGTGTGTGTGTGTGTGTGTGTGTGCATGCATGTGTGTGCATGTGTGCATGTGTGTATATGCACATACATGCACACACATGGATGCTAATTACATGAATGTGGAATGGGTGCTTGTGGGAGTCTGGTCTGTCCTTGTGGGTTTGGGCGTGTGACCGAACTAGGGTCTCTTTGTTTGGTAACGGGTGTATTCATCTGTTGAGCCACCTGACTTACTGAGCCAGGGACCCACTTCCAACATTTTTTCCATTACTTTATTTTACTTACATGGGTCTGAGCCTGCTTTTCTGTATGTGCACCATGCCCACACAGGTGCCAGAGGAGGCAGTCTGGGGTGTAAAACCCTTTGAAACTGTTACAAGTGGTTGTGAGTCACCCGAGGCAGGCGCTGAGCACAAGAGCAGCAAGTGCGCTTACTTGCTGAGCCCCGGCCCCCACTTTTAACATTTCAGTGTAAGACTAAAGGAACTTCCCAGAACAAACTTCTTAAGATGACCATTGCAGCCATGTTAAAAAGCTCAACTGACTTTGGTTCTTTCCCCTTCTACCAAACAAGTGAACCAGGATCCCCAAAATGAAATGCAATATGGATTTTCATCAAGCATGACATTCGTCCTCACATGCTAAGGTCAGTGATCATTTCCTGATTTCCACAGACAGAATCTGTTGCTCAACCTTTGAGGTCCCCACAGCACACTATTGACTATTCTAAATATGTTATTTATTTACTTTTTTCTATGTATATATGGTGTGTGTACCTGCAAGAGTTTATCTGCACCATGCATTTGCAGGAACCCACAGAGGCTAGGAGATGGTGTAAGATCCCCTGGAAATGAAGGTACAGGCCATTGTGAGCTGCCATGTGGGTGCTGGGAACTGAATCTAGGTCCTCTGCAAGAGCAGTAATTTTTCTTAGCCATTGACCTTTTTCTTCAGCCTCTACCATTCTTTTATTTTGTACTTCTTATAGTTTGTAATAAATCTTTTTATCTTCCTTTCCAAATTAGAACTCCATCCACAAGAGGCACTGTAGTTACTTAATGGATATTACTCCACATTTAGTACCTGACGTAACACAAAGAGGCAACTCAGTATGGATTGAATCAACCGTTGACTGAACAAACAAACAAAGACGTTCCAGTTCCTACGCAGGGAAAGGCTGGAGTAGACCGGCACACTCAACACCATTCTCTATATTATCTGCCCTTCTCATGTTTTTTTCCATAGTTTATCCTGGTTTACTTACGGCTGTTACTTCTACATGTCAAAATAAGTATCTTCTCATACTCACTGAGATCTGCACATTCTCCCGAGTTCCCTATTAACTTTCCCATTAAAGTTCAATGACAAAAAATTCTAAGTCAAAGTCTTCTTTTTACCTTTTATTTCTCTGTCTTCCATATCATTCCTTTAGCTATCAAGGATATATATATTTAAAGTAACTTTCACCCATAGCTAATCAACAGATTATCCAGTGAATACGGAATTCCTAGCATATTATTCTAGTCACTGTCATATATTTAAAATCCATTCATGTCTTCTCTCAAAGACCCTGCAGTCTAGCAGAGAGGCAGATAAGCATAAAATCAGGTATATAATGCATGGTGATAATTGGTCAATAGAAGTTTTTCAGGACCACAGGGGAAACCCAGCTAAATTAGATGCTGAGGACACTTAGACAGTGTTGTATGTGTTTCACAGATATTGGCTGGACAATGAAAGGTGCAGGAAGGAAGGTTACATCCTGATCAAAGAACAGCATCAAAAGGGTTTGAGGTTTGAACAAGTACAGCATGTTAACCTAACATCTGTCAGGAGTGTTGCTTTCAAAAAGCGACAGTGTGTGAATGTGAGTGTGTGCTGGAAAGTGAAGACTGGACTGCAGAGGACCACGTGTTAAAAGTGAAGACACACAAGTTTCCACAGCCATGCACTGCAGCTATCCCAGGGTTTCAAGCAGAGGCAGGCTGTGACGTATACTTTCCGCAGATTTTTCCTTTGGCATCGTCTCTGTGTGTCTGAAGGAATGCCAGGCTGGAGGCAGGGAGAGTAAGTGGAGGTCTACCACACTAATCGTTGGTAATGATGAAGAGGGCCTGAGCTACAACATTGGCAATGAAAATGGTTTCAAAAGTAAAGCGGGGAAATTTTGAGTCAAGGAGAAACGGTTAAAGGTTATAATTGATGGCACAACGCTGCTCAGAACTCCAGAGAGGGTTTGGTGCAAAGCATGTGTGGGACACGTACGTGCAGAGGCATACTTCACAGCAACGGGAAGTGAGAGATGGCTGCCCCGAGCGATGCTGGTGGGAGGCGGGCGAGGTTGCCAGGTAAAACACAGGATGCACAGTTACATTTGAATTTCAGATAAACAGAGTGACATTTAGTTTAAATACTTTCCAAACACTGCCGCTCCATTCCCTCACAAGTTTCCCTTTCCTGAATGTCACACAGCCCACTTGTCTGCCTCACAAACTCCTCACTCATCATCTCAGTTCAAGTGTCACCTTTCCACAATTATGCACCCTTTCACTGAGGTTATAAAGGAGTTTCTGTGCTGGTATAGACTGTACTCAGTTTGTGTGTGTGTGTGGTGTGTATGTGTGTGTGTGTGTGTGGTGTATGTGTGTGTGATGTGTGTATGTGTTTGGTATGTGTGGTGTGTATGTGTGTGGTGTGTGTGATGTGTGTATGTGTGTGTGTGTGGTATGTGTAGTGTGTGGTGTGTGTGTGTGGTATGTGTGGTGTGTATGTGTGTGTGTATTGGGTGTGTGTGTGGTGTATGTGTGTGTGTGTGGTGTGTGTATGTGGCAGCATGTGTGGTAGTGTGTGTATGTGTGGGGGGTTTATGTGTATGTGTGTGTGTTATATACGTGTGTGTGGTATGTGTGTGTATATATGTATGTGTGTGTGGTGTGTTTGGGGGTATATATGTGTGTGTGTGTGGTGTGTGGCAGTGTGTGGCAGTGTGTGTGGTGTGTGTGTGGGGTTTATGTGTGTGTATGTATGTGTGTGTGGTAGTGTGTGTATGTGTCAATGTGTCTGTGTGTGTGTGTGTGTGGTATGTGTGTGTTTGGGGGTATATGTGTGTGTTTGTGTATGTGGCAGTGTGTGTGTGTGTGTGTAGTATGTGTGTGTTTGGGGGTATATGTGTGTGTATGTATGTATGTGTGGTAGTGTGTGTGTGTGTGTGTGTGTGTGTGTGTGTGTGTGTGTGTGTATGCACGTTGAGGCCTGATGGTGTTGTTGGGTGTCTTCCTCAATCACGTTCCACCTTACTCTGATGAGATTGGGTCTCTGTCTGGACCTGGAGATGCCAATTGGCTGGAATGGCTGGAAAACAAGTGCCAGGCATTCCTGTGTCTCTACCACACCCAGATTGTTCTTGGGTGTTAGGGATCTGAATTTTCTTGCTAGAGCATCAGGCACTTTATCCAGAATAGCATTTCTCCAGCCCCCAGATTGCAAAGTTCATGAAAATAAAGATTAGGGCTTTCTATTTAGGGTCTAGTTCAATAGCTCAAACTTGGGAGTCACCCAATAAATATTTGTTAAATGAAAAAAATGCTCTATTTCAAATTTTTATTATTTCTCCAGGCCTATCCCCACTAGCACATCCTGTTTTCTGGCCCATCTTGGTGAGTCTGCCCTCCTAAATGGAAGCCTCATGCACTCACCCCAATCCTCAGATAGGGCCTGGACCCACACCCAGCACTCAGCTAAAGCCTGATATGACACACCCCGTGCCTTCTCTATCTTTATGCTTGGGCAAGGAAACACATCCAGTGTCTGCCTGGTACCTCCCTTATTATTCCTTATAATAAGAAATCAGTTCATTATTATTATCATTGTCGTGTGTGTGTGTGTGTGTGTGTGTGTGTGTGCATGAGTGCAGATACTCTGAGGCCAGAGGCATTGGATTTCCTTGGAGCTAGAGTTACAGGCTTTGGGGATCAAACTTGGGTCCTCTGTAAAAGCAGAACCTGCTCTAAACTAACTGCGGAGCCCTCTCTCCAGTCCATCGCTTAGATTTCTGTAGTTCTGTTTGCCTTTAAATTCTCCCTACTTTAAAGAACCCTTTATATTGACTCATGGGATATCTTAAAGACTCAAACCACATGGTATATTTGCTACTTAGATATTTGTGATTACTCCCCGATGCCTATAAGATAAAGTGAAAACTGCAGTGTGACCATGAGTGTCCCAGACTATGCGATCCCCAAGCTAAGAGGTGAAAAGCCCAGACTTGGCATTTGTCTCTGTGAAAAACCTGGCTATGTTACTTTATAGTTATGTAACTGAGTAAGTATCTTTTTTTTTTTTTTTACATTTCCAAATGTTTAAAATGTTTATTTATTGCAGTCACATATGTATTCCTGTGTATGCCATGGTAAACATGTGGATGGTGGAAGAAAACTTTTGTGGATCTGTTCTTTCTTTCCATCATGGAGGTTTAGGGGCTCAAAATCTGGTTGTCATACTTTTGGCAAATATGTTCCACTGAGCCATGTCTCTGTCCTGTGAGTGACTATGTTAATATAGTGACATTTGTAAAAATGGTGGTACTGTCTACCTGATAACGTTATGTAAAACTAAAATGATTTAATTTCAGTGAAACATTTACCATCCCACTGTATCACCTGACAGCACAGTACACAGACAGATGCAGCTGTTATTAACATCTGTCCAGCCTTCATGGTCCGTGCTTCACTTTCCATGGGCATTGACACTTCCACTTGAACTTGACCTCTTAAACTCCTCCACCCTGCAGTTCCAGACTTCATCACCCCACGGTGATTTCCAATGCATGTCTGTTTATGATGTCCAGCCTGTATGGCACCTGAGGCCTGCCAGGATAGTGAAATGGCTGATGTTGAATTTCTAGCACACACACAGAGCAGCATCCTCGTGCACACACGCAGAGCAGCATCCCCGTGCATACACAGAGCAGCATCATCGTGCACACGCAGAGCAGCATCCTCGTGCACACACAGAGCAGCATCCTCGTGCACACACAGAGCAGCATCATCGTGCACACACAGAGCAGCATCATCGTGCACACACAGAGCAGCATCATCGTGCACACGCAGAGCAGCATCCCCGTGCATACACACAGAGCAGCATCCTCGTGCATTCACACAGAGCAGCATCCTCGTGCATTCACACAGAGCAGCATCCTCGTGCACACACAGAGCAGTATCCTCGTGCACACACGCAGAGCAGCATCCTCGTGCACACACGCAGAGCAGCATCCTCGTGCACACACGCAGAGCAGCATCCTCGTGCACACACAGAGCAGCATCCTCGTGCATACACAGAGCAGCATCCTCGTGCAAACACAGAGCAGCATCCTCGTGCATTCACACAGAGCAGCATCCTCGTGCATTCACACAGAGCAGCATCCTCGTGCATTCACACAGAGCAGCATCCTCGTGCATTCACACAGAGCAGCATCCTCGTGCACACACGCAGAGCAGCATCCTCGTGCACACACGCAGAGCAGCATCCTCGTGCACACACAGAGCAGCATCCTCGTGCACACACAGAGCAGCATCCTCGTGCACACACAGAGCAGCATCCTCGTGCTCATGTAGAACAGCAGCAATTGCAGTGAGGGTGCACTGGTTTCTTCTGGCTCCTTGTGTTATCACATCAGGCTTTGGGACACCACATTTTTCTTACATGGTAAGAGTGGGCATGTTTATCAGTGCTGAAGTGTTCCAGTTGCCAAGAGATCTCTCTTCCAATTACTTTCCACTATGACTTTTAAAGACCGTTCTTATTATTTTTATTGCCTCTAAAACTTCCTTTGGACTGATATATATCTATGCTTTTCAATGTTATTCCTCTAGTAACTGTAACAAATCTGGAAATTAAAAAAAATGAATTCTAAACTCAAGATACTTAATTAGTGATAACTCTGTTATTCCTAAGACCTTTTCCTAAATTATGAAAATACAGAGTGGGGGCATTGAAGTCACCTTCTATCAGGGTGTGAGGGTCAATGCGTGTTTTGGTCAGTGGTGGTTTTTCTTTGCAATCTTGAGTGTCCTTGTGTTTGGTGCATGGATGTCAGGAATTGCAATGTCATTTTGGTGAATGTTTCCTTTGATGGTATATAGTGTCCTTCCCTACTTCTGATTGGTTTTGATTTGAAGGCTGTTTTATCAGATATTAAAATGGCTATTCTTCCTTTAGTTAATTTTTTAAAAGATCTTTTTCTTTTCCCCTTGTCTGAAGGTGAAAATTTCAATGAAAAACTCTAGATATCTATAATATTCAGTATGGGTTTTATTCACTTTTTACCTTTGGTCCTTCGAGTCCATTTTGTCCAGGAATCCCAATATCTCCTGGAAAACCCTGGTAGATATAAAAAGGCAGAGAGTTTATTCCACAGCAAATTACTTTAAACCTATTAAGAATATAAAGCCCACCTTTGTCTGTATCTAATGCCTAGTTAAAACAATTTATATTCTTCAAAACTCAACAATTACCAGACTGGGATAAAAACAACTCAGTTTCCTAAAAAAAAAAATTACTTTATTAATGTGTCACCATCTCCAGGCTTAAAGGAATCACTGAGATCCTGTTAAAGAGAAGGAGAATGGCATACCCTTTCAATGTCAACAGATACTGAGCTATCAAAGAGTAAGGAATCCACTCTGTAAGCCTCACAGTTCACTGATTACTTACAAACATGAAGTTTGGTTAAGTACACACACAATCCAGTTCTGTCTAGTCAAAAAATCATTACCTATGTCAATCCTGTTTGCATCAAACCTACCTATCTATCACAGAATCCCAGACATGATCGCCTTTACTTAGCTCCTCTAAGTAGATTTTTACACTACCTCTTTACTATCTTACTGATGCTTTCACTAATTAATTAGTTTATCAAAGTTTTATCTGTGTATGTATTTGCATCAGAGTCATACTTTCACCTTTGGAAATTCTGTTAGCGGTCTAAAGCTCTTGGTTTCCAAAATGAAATGCATCTTAGTGTTAATTAAAGTCAATGCTAGGGGAAGGCCTTGGATGTTACTCTAAAATGGTGAGGTTACAATTCTGGCTGATATAATGAATCAGAACATGGCACCTCATGCTCAGTTTCAGACATCATCATCACAGGCTTTCCTTTATTGATTTAGTCACCAAGGAAGAAAGTCTACCTCCCATTGGACAAGGTTCACAGACGAGGTGAGGCAGGAGCACAGACGGGTGAGACGGGAGCACAGACGGGTGAGACGGGAGCACAGACGGGTGAGACGGGAGCACAGACGGGTGAGACGGGAGCACAGACGGGTGAGACGGTGAGACGGGTGAGACGGTGAGACGGGTGAGACGGGAGCACAGACGGGTGAGACGGGAGCACAAACGGGTGAGACGGGAGCACAGACGGGTGAAACGGGTGAGACGGGAGCACAGACGGGTGAGACGGGAGCACAAACGGGTGAGACGGGAGCACAGACGGGTGAAACGGGTGAGGCGGGAGCACAGACGGGTGAGGCGGGAGCACAGACGGGCGAGGCGGGAGCACAGACGGGTGAGACGGGTGAGACGGTGAGACGGGTGAGACGGGAGCACAGACGGGTGAGACGGGAGCACAGACGGGTGAGACGGGAGCACAGACGGGTGAGACGGGAGCACAGACGGGTGAGACGGGAGCACAAACGGGTGAGACGGGTGAGACGGGAGCACAGACGGGTGAGGCGGGAGCACAGACGGGTGAGACGGTGAGACGGGTGAGACGGTGAGACGGGTGAGACGGGAGCACAGACGGGTGAGACGGGAGCACAAACGGGTGAGACGGGAGCACAGACGGGTGAGGCGGGAGCACAGACGGGTGAGACGGGAGCACAGACGGGTGAGACGGGAGCACAAACGGGTGAGACGGGAGCACAGACGGGTGAAACGGGTGAGGCGGGAGCACAGACGGGTGAGGCGGGAGCACAGACGGGTGAGGCGGGAGCACAGACGGGTGAGGCGGGAGCACAGACGGGCGAGGCGGGAGCACAGACGGGTGAGACGGGTGAGACGGTGAGACGGGTGAGACGGGAGCACAGCGGGTGAGACGGGAGCACAAACGGGTGAGACGGGAGCACAGACGGGTGAGACGGGAGCACAGACGGGTGAGGCGGGAGCACAGACGGGTGAGGCGGGAGCACAGACGGGTGAGGCGGGAGCACAGATGGGTGAAACGGGTGAGGCGGGAGCACAGACGGGTGAAACGGGTGAGGCGGGAGCACAGACGGGTGAGGCGGGAGCACAGACGGGTGAGGCGGGAGCACAGACGGGTGAGACGGGAGCACAGACGGGTGAGACGGGAGCACAGACGGGTGAGACGGGTGAGACGGGAGCACAGACGGGTGAGGCGTGAGCACAGACGGGTGAGACGGGAGCACAGACGGGTGAGACGGGAGCACAGACGGGTGAGGCGGGAGCACAGACGGGTGAGGCGGGAGCACAGACGGGTGAGGCGGGAGCACAGACGGGTGAGACGGGAGCACAGACGGGTGAACCGGGTGAGACGGGAGCACAGACGGGTGAGGCGGGAGCACAGACGGGTGAGACGGTGAGACGGGTAAGACGGGAGCACAGACGGGTGAGACGGGAGCACAAACGGGTGAGACGGGAGCACAGACGGGTGAGACGGGAGCACAGACGGTGAGACGGGTGAGACGGGAGCACAGACGGGTGAGGCGGGAGCACAGACAGGGTAAGAAAGGCTCACATCGCAGCAATTTTTAAAGAAAGGACAGATTGTGTGAAGTGCAATGGCCACCCAGTAAAGAAAAGGCAGTTCTGTGGAGCGGTAAATCTGCGGGGACTAAAACCCATAACAAGCCAAAGGAGGCAGCCAGTTGACTCTGGGAAGCCCTTTCTGTGAAGAAAAGGGCATAAATGTGGCAATTTATACCTAAAGGCCTCACCACAAGGTCTGATTTCCAAGGACCATGAGACAGTTAACACAGATTTGTGGAGTTTTTTGTTTGTTTATTTCTTTTTTATTTTTTTCCTGATCAAAAGGAACCAGGTGAGCCTATGCTAGCGTTTGCATTCCTGCGTGTGTAAAGCTGTACTCACCTAATGATTCCAAGTGTTCTCTCTAGAATAGATTATATTTACTGGCCTTGATGCAACATACTTGTCTTCTAGGTCTTGCTGAAATAGCTGATAGTTGAATCCACATCTTACCCACCACAATCCTCCCATCACCCTGCACTTACTACTTGAATGAGTATTACCCAGAGTTCCAAGCCAAAGGGTTTTATACTTCCCCTTTACAAACGTCTTTCTCTCCTCCTAGAACTTTCACACCACAAAGCTATCGGTGTTTTGTCTTGTTTTATTGTTTTTTGTGTCAGACTGTAACCTCCTTGGGTGTACGTCCTGGGTTTCCACTCTCATACTCCCGGCAAGTGCTGTGACATCTGGCATGCAGCAATTACTTTTAAAAGTTTTGTTGTTGTTGTTATTTTTGAGTGACTGACTTAATTCTTTTGGAAGAGAGGACAGCTTGTACTGGGGCTACTTGTATCCCAGGTCTCTGTTTACAACACACTGGCTCTCTCATGGATACATTCATGACCTGTCCACTTTCCAGATGGCCCCAGAAAACCTTACCATACCAGCAATGGAGAAAGCTATCATACCGAAACTGGAATCATTTTAAAATAACTCTTGAGGTACTTGGATAGAATTCTACAAGCCAACTATTTGGGGGGGGGGGAAGCAACTTTTTTCAATGGTGGAGAAAAACTGGATTAAATTTAACCACAATAAATATATTTAAATTCATAAGCTCAAATACATCAACTCCAAAAATTGTCCACGTATAGAGGATAAAGGGAAGCTAACTCATTACCTGCAAAAGTGATAACAAGAATCAACAATTCAGCATTCATTTGCCTTGGCTTATATTCTGAAGAACTTTCATCCAAATGGTAGGTAAGAATATTCAATCCTCTTCCAAAGTAGATAAGGGCATTCTAGCCCTCCCCACAAAGACATGACAAAGCAAGAAAATCTGTTTTTCCTCCCCTCAAATTATCTCCTGGACTTGTCATTGAGTTCAAATCTTCAGTAACACCACACCACACTGATGGGAGATGTCATTCTGTATATGTTTCTCACACTGGTTAATAATAAAGCACTGTTGGCCAATAGGAAAGGAAGATAGGAGGGACTAGGAGACAAGGAGGAAATAGGAAGTAGGAAGGAGGAGTCAAGATGGAGAGTCTGGAGAAAGCAGTATGCCGCCGGCTCCCCGGTAAGAGAAATACATAGATCAGCAGAAATGGGTTAATAATTAAGGCAGAGCTAGCCGATAAGAAACAAGTAACCAGGCCAACAGCATTGTATCAAATACAGAGTCTCTGTGTGTTATTTGGGGCTGGCGCGACAGTAGGACAAGACCAGGCGGCAGGCGGAAAAACCGTACTCATTACACCACCACCACACACACACACACACACACACACACACACAAACATGGATGACAATGCAAGTGCTTACTGATAGAAGAACCCAGGATGACCTGCTGACTTACCAAAACAAGGAAAACAAACCTCAATATGGTCAGGAGTCTGTAATGAGACTAGCAATTTTCAAGAAAAACACAAATCAAGGAAGATGCAAAACTACTCCATGAGATATAATCAACACAGACAGTTGACGCTGTAACTCAAATGGTTGGGCATTCCCGTAGCTAAGTTAAGAGGAAGGAGAACGGAGAATGAACTTAGAGATTACAAGACACAGCAAACTTGAAAACTAAAGCAAGACACCAAAGGCATTGTGTGGCAACAAGCAAGTCTACTCTAACTTTGCAGTACTTAGAAAATGTGTCAGAAATTTACATGCGATAGACATTTGTTTTATTGTCTCCTGTGATTGTGATTTTACAATAGAACTAACAAAGTTAGTGAGGTCATTTTAGTTAAACATGGGATGTCTGATATATGTGAACATCGCATCCTTAGTGAGCCCAAATACCAACGGAATATATTAAAAACTCATAAAGTGTGACAGACAAAGACAATGGGACAAAAGATGTCACCAGCTCAAAGCTCCTATTAGAGTGAAGTAACTTGAATGTTTGAAAATTAAGAGTTTACTGAAAATCTCAGAAGCATATTAGTACAATTATTAAAAGGAAAATAATCTCTGTGTTCTTTCCACATGGGCAAGCTTAGAAACTTGGCCAGCGAACATCTTCATTCTTTTAAATATTTATAGCTGGACTATGCTCAAGTATAGATCTTGCCACTTAAATAATACATTTTACAGTAGGAAACAAAACAAAACCAACCATTTAAATGGCTCACCTGAGTTTTAATGATGACATACAGAAAGGATTT